AAATTTCAAGAATAACTTGCTAACTGTATGATATCCAATATTGATCCCACTTATCAGTTTCTTTGTCATATTCAAGAAACACTAAGTAAACTAAAGAAAGATAAAAAAAAAAGAAAAAAAAATATACAACAGTATTTATCCTTATGATGCTATACCACCTTGATTGTGCAGCTGCATTAAAGCTCATAAAGATGTGAATTATAGTCTCAACTGCTGGTACACCCCCACATAAATTATTGCAGCATCTTATTCAGCTTATACAGCCTACGCTTTACAAAAACCAGTATAGAGTTAAAAATTCATCATCTTTTGTGTTAGAAGCCAAAGAATGGACAATTGAAGAAAATGAGGTTCAGGTATCATTTGACAGAATAAATTTGTATCCGTCAGTACCACTTGATAAAGCTATTATTGATATTTTAAATAATGATTAAAATAATCTTCAGTTGTATACTATATTATCTTTAACTGACATTCATAAATTAATCGAACTTTATCTAAGTAAATGCTATTTTCTGTGGGCTAACAATATTTATATCTTCAAAAACCCTGGTCTAATTGGATTATCCATAATGGCAGTAATTTCAGGAGCTTACTTACAACATATAATGCAATTCAATAAGCATTAACCATTAATGTTGCATCAATAACATTTAACCGATATGTTGATGACTGCTATGCACATTTTTCTACCTCTGATAAAGCAGAATTGTTTTTGACACTTAAATTCTCAAGACAAAGCTATTCAATACACATGCAAATACCAAAATAATCAATATTAACTTAATTTCTTAGATATATGCATTTCAACTAATCAAATAACTCATAAATATAACTTTTCCATATACCGCAAGAGTTCAATAACAAATGTACTTGTAAAATTGCAATCATGTATATCACCATATATTGCAATAGGGATATTTAAAGGTTTTCTTGCAAGAGCTTATAATTTATTTACTAGTGGTTATATAGAAAAAGAATCTGAGTTCCTAATTACTGTTTTTATGAAAAATGGATGTTCTCTGCAACAACTCTAGACATTGTAAAACATTAAAAACATTTTCAACCAAAAGACCACCAACATATTAACACAAATAGTACCATAATACTTCCATGGATTCCTAAATTAAGCCTTATTCTTAGTCGAAAAGTTGGCCTATAAACAGCTTTTTGTTTCGGAAGATCTTTACTGAACATATTATGCCAAAATAATTCAAAGCTACCACCAAATAGTTACCTGAGTATTTACCAACTTAAATGTACATGTGGCGCTTTTTATGAGGGAGAAAGACTAAAGCACAAACAACAGAACATCAAAAAAACGTGACTAAAGCAAGCTTGAAAGCGTCTGAATAATCCTAAAACACTTTCTTGCGAATTTACACTTCAAGTCTTAATTTTGGACTAGTTTTGTTAGATTGTTAATTTCAAACGTTGCAATATTTTTTTGCAAAATCTTGTTTTAAAATATCTTGTTTTGAATTTATAAAGTAACCAATAAACTATTTTTTAAAAAGCAGAATTGTTTTAATAAGCCAATAAATTTGCGCTAAATTGTTTACACGCATTTAAATTTAAATTTTGCATATCTTTTTTGATTAGCTGTAATATAAAATCAATTTCGACTGCAGTAAACTTAAATTTCTTATAATGTCTTATAACTGACAGATCTATCAATAGGAAAGTTAAAGATCTTCTTGTACTTGTTAAGGATATTAATCGCAAGCACGGAAAAGCAAGCGCTAAAAGAAATCATGATGCAAACTTGGACAAACTTTTTGATATTTCTCCGTGTTCCTGTTCATTGGATGTGTTTCCCTGTAGTGACAGAAAAGTTTCATTTAATAATGAAAATTGCATCGAAGAATATATTGTATGCCTTTGCTCTCAAAGTAATAAAGTACCTCTTGAAGACAGGGCTTATCTTCGTGATCAGAGTTAAAAAATTGGTCAAAAAGGTGCATATCAACTTTCTTCTGTTAATGGATTATCTGTCAAAAGGATTCAAAGACTTGATAAAGAATGACAAAAAATATCTCATAAGCTAGTTAATGAAGACGAATCCTTCATAGCACACTTAAATTTAATTAAAGAAGCAAGTGGTTTGACCAATACAAAGTAAATATTTTATAAATACATGAAATATTTGTAGTAGATGAAACAGAAAGCATTTTATTTTATTAACTTATTTTAAGATGAAGGTGAATGAAAACCAATAAATAATCCTATTGGAAAATACAACTTGGTTAAACTTCCAAGATTTGCAATGGAACTATTCAGAAACTAGTGTTTGTCAAACGTTGGTGCAGCCTTTGCAAATGCTTTACTACATGACATAAAATATCACCTGAAAAATGACGTTGATATAAATGATATATTGATTGACAAATGCAAATTATATAGGGCCAAGTCAAAAAAAGAAATCGTTAGTGAAGAGGTGGACTCAGAACAAAAAAACACAGTTAATTTGTCTTGGGCTTGATAGCAAGCTTGATCAGATAAGTAAAACAAGTAAAGTAATAAACTCACCTCAAGAAGAAGTACTAAAGAAATGCATCGAACCTGAACATCACCTTACATTTACTTATGAAGATAAAAAATCCAGTGGAAATTATTTGACTCATAGGGCGATTCCTGTCACTGGTACTACAGGCTTAGTTCTTGCTATTGAAACGCTCAGTTTTACAAGAACATAACAGTTTGGAAAGTATACAAGCTGTTCTTGTTGGAAATACTGCTACCAATACTGGACCAATAAGTGGCTTGAAGAGTTTTTAAAAACAAAACTACATCTAATTGGATGCGCCTTAAATTAATATGAACTTCAGTTACAAGCTATTTTTGTAAATCTTGACAACAGGGCCAACAAGTTTCAGTGGTCTACTTGGCAAAAGATGTAATGAAAATATTCAGAAATCAAGTTTTCTTTGAATGTTTTGAAAACCCAATTGTAGACAGGTATATATCAGAAGAAATACTAATAGACCTTAGTTGCGATCAAAGACTTTTTTTTAAATCTTACAAAGGAATAGGCTTTGGTAAAGTTTCTGATAAATAAACCGCCTATAAAATTGGACTGCTTAACCATGCAATGTGGTTAACTCTAGCTATTCGCCTTCTCTGTTTGTATACTAGAGACAATCAACCAACCGTTTCTTTAAAAAAACTAGTATGTTTTATTGTTCAGGTTTATGCTCCAGCGTGGTTTGGTACAAAAAAATCTTCAAAATTTCACAAATCCTCGCACCTTATTTTTTCTACTATTACTAGAATAAATAATCTCCCCTTTGATAATGTTCAACATATTCTTAAAAAAAGCATTAAAAACAATGCATTGTGCCTAAAACCTGAAAATATTATTTATGCCATGCTTAAAGATAATAACAACAAGATACTAAACTTTGGTTTTTCCTACTGGGTCTAAGGCAAAGGTATTTTTTTGTAGTTAACTAAAATAAAATTTTGAAAAAAATGATGCATTAAATGTGGTAATTGGCTTTGATTTATATTTATAGAGTAAACAATGAAAGTTTGGAAGTAAATTTGAAAAAAATTCTGGAAATTAATTTTAATGCAAATTATGGGTATGAGTTGGTAGACATCAGCATTACTAAAGTTACGAAATCCCTTATAACACAACATTTTTCAATTGAGCAAATCCAATATATGATTGACAATTATGTTGAACCTGAAATACCGGACTTTCCATCTCACTCCCAGAGTGTTGAGCGAGCTGTAAAACTTGTGTCGGAAGCATACCAATATGTTTATGGATTTGAGAATCGATACAGCTGCATTTTAACTAAACTACTTAGCAGGAAGATGTGTAAACCATATATTTCAAAAGAGCATTATACCTATTCTTATGATGATATTTTTTAATTGAAAATGTTTTCCTAAAAATAAATATCCATGTTCAAAATGCTTTAAATGGTGAAAATAATGTTTATTTTGATATTCTTATTTAAATATTAGAATGAAAGTTTCATTATTTAAATCTTCAAATAGTTAACAAGTTGCTATAAATTTAGCTTAATTTTTATAAAGTATTATAAAACTAAATCATTGAGCAATGCAAATAATATTAAAAAACATTTAAAAATGAACATATTTAAAACGTCAATCTTAGCATATAACGCTTTTTAAGGTATTTTTCGCATAATCCTACAAATCCTACAAATTAAATCTGCAAACAATTCTTTATCCAAAATCTCTCAAATTTTGAGAGTAATCGTATTTTAACTGTCTCCGACTACAGTAATATTATGCAATATGGGGAATTAAAATCGACCTACTCTAATATACATATATATATATATATATATATATATATATATATATATATATATATATATATATATATATATATATATGTGTACATATATATATATATACATATATGTATCTGTTTATATACATATATGTATATATATATAAATGTATATATATATATATATATATATATATATATATATATATATATATATATATATATATATATATATATATATATATAACAAACTCAAAAAGCTTGTTAAATATTGTTTAAAAAACTACTTGTTCTATGGTTTTTGTAAAAAACTTTATACTTGATTTATATTTTACTTAAAGCAAAATTTTTATTAGTTCTTTAGTTAAAAATCTTAAAAAAGTAAAAGTATAATTTTAAAAAGAATCAAATTCATTTGCTACAGTTGTAGCTTCAGTATAGCTACAGTTGATAATGGCTTTGAAATCTTTTATTCATATGGTATATATCTATACATATATACAGCATTTATTTTAGATTGATTGGTATCTAGCTCATAAAATTTCATAAGTTTTTTTGTTTGTATTTATTGTTAGTCATAATTTTTAATCAGCTGTTTTTGAAAAAATTTCAATTTAAAAAAAAATTAAGTAGTATTCTCTTCAACTTAAAAGACTTAACAATTATTAACAATGTAAACCATTTTTAATAATAGAATATTTGTTATATTTATAGGAAAGTTTTATTTTAGAAAATTCTATTAATTGAATGGAAAGAAGATACAGAAATTGTGAAAACAGAGCTTAAAAGTATGTTGAGTTCATCAATTAGTTTTTTAAAGGCTGATGTACCAGACCATTTTAAGACGATGCAATCTATTATGGAAACTATGAGCACCTTAGATAAGCCTTGGGCCATTAAAGTAGTAAAAACATTGAAAACAGTAGAAAATTCAACAACTTTGATTGAGTCTGCATCAGAAAGTTCATCATGGCAAAATGTTCAAGTATCTTGGCTTGCTAATGTTGAATTATTTCAACCTACTCTGTTACCTATTATGAAGGTACCAAGTAATAAGTCAGGTGGTGTTTATAAAAATCCTGAAGAATACTTCGAAATTGTGATGCGACTGTGGATTGGTTTAACTTTTAATGATGGGAATTCTAACCTTAACCCAAAATGCCATCATAGATTTGGAGATAAAGAATGTGGAGAAGTATTTATATTTTGCATTTTTTTAATTAATAAAATTTTCTTGTTAACTAAAAATAAACATGAAACAATTATATAAATTTTATTATTATTATTTATTTCATGGTGTAGATAACTAGCATTGATTGCAAAATAGAGTTATGCATGCATTGCACAAAATTGAAATTCTCTCAACTTTTTACATCCATTTATATAATATATCTACCCACAAAATCAACATTGCAAAAACCGCTTAATACATAACTACAATTAAAATAATTAAAAACTATTAGTAAAAGAAACCATGTAATTGCCGTAGAATGTTCTAGAACATTCTGTACTTTATTACACTCCTCCTTGGTCCTTACGGATCATACAAATAATAATCGTCGTATTTTTGGGGCATGCGTTGTTCTCGAGTACTTTGTGGCAAAGGCACTGTTTCTTGGAATCCGTTTTCAGCTTCACCATTTCCTTAAAACACGTCTCTTTTGCTTGTCTCCAACACATTCTTAATTTGCTCAACATGGTTTGCCGCGTTATCTCGACCATTGTCTGCGTTCACTTTAGGAATATCGCATGGTTGAATGATATTTCGATATCGGATATGTTTTACGTGACACGGAACGCCATTAACTTCGACAACTTGTTTCGAAATATTTCCTGTTAGTTTTGCTGGCTGCCACTTAGTATGGCACTTCGCATTTGGAACTTTCAACCAAACATTATAACCAATTTTTATACACTTCATTTGTGTCAGCTTTTGTCGGAAGATTATCTTTTTTCAATACTTTCACATCATTTCGATACCTGTATATTTTTTCCATCGGGCTTACATTGTTTTTGTTAGCTGAGACGTTGTACTAATACACTGCTTCCGGTATTGACATTTTTAATCTTTCTGCAATTCTCTTAATTGTACGATGATTTCTTTTCACAACTCCATTTCCTTCGGGATAATAAGCAGCTCGAAACCTAATGCACACTCCCCAACCATCAAGAAAACTTCTCAACTTCTCAGTTTTAAAAGTTGCTGCATTATCTGTCAAAATTTCAGATGGCGCTCCTCGCTCACAAAAGATCAGAGTATTCGAGTAATGGCTTTTATACTTCCGTATGAACATGAAAGTTGTCGCCACAGTGCGTATCTTGAAGGTCCGCAATCAATCAGAGTTAAAAAATTTTCTGTGCCAAAATACGTGATATCTATGGCTACTCTTCCCAATTTTCTTTAACACTCAATTTTCCCTTCTCCCATTGTACAGGTGCTGGATCTATTGACTGACATAGTTTGCAATTTTTAATTACCTCTCTAACGTCATTTTCGGTAGCCGTTGGAATTACTTTACGAACGAAGTTTAGAGTGCAATTCACTCCAAAGTGTATGCTAGAAATGGATTCATTCTCTTGTGTATGCTAGAAATGGATTCAGCCTCTGCAAATACTGCTCCAACTGAATTACTTAAATGCTTAGCCTCTGTCAATTTATTCACCCATCTACTTCGAACTCTAGTCAATGCGTCAGCTAAGTTGTCTTTTGAAGGAACGAGTTTTACATTCACATTAACACCACATTCTTCAATACATTGTTGCAGAACGCCTAATCTTCTTCGAATCAACATTTCCTCCATTGCTTTTGATTTTAATCTTGACTTACCAGTGAGAGCATCAGAGACCCAGTGGAACACTGTCACGGAATCTGTGAAGATAGTCATTTTCTTTAATTTCCACGTCAAAGCCATATTCATTCCTTGCATTAAAGTATCCAGCTCCGCCATGTATATGTGATCCTCAGACATTTCTTTTCATATCCGTGTTGCATCTTCTACAGTAGTTTTACCAACTTGAATAACTGCACCACTTGCCAAAGAACTTGCATCAACCCACACATTCCCCTCATTACCATGTACAGCCCAATCACCATAAGCTGGATCGCACTTTGCAACCTCACCATGAACCTCTTGAAGTACATGCTTTAAATTTTCATCGCAAACTTTATTGTCCCAACCCTTTGTCAAACTAACCATATTTCTTTTCAAAAGGCTACAAACTGCACATAACCAACCACATACTGGTAAATGACCTACCAACTGCCCACAAACGGAAAACACTACGTTTATGTAGTAGTCTTTTATTAAACAATATCAAAGGCTTTTTCAAAGTTTGTAAAAATGACACCAACATGGTATCCTTAATGTAAACCCTTTATGATTATGCCAAGGCTTTCTTATAAGCTAGCTACACATGCTTTTTTAAAACTAAACCCGTGTTGTGTATTCAAGATGATACCTATGGCTTTGTAGTGATGCCTGAACCTCTCAAGCAATTGCTTCCATTACTTTTCTAGGAGTTGATGATAACATCACAAGTCTGTAGTTTGAAGCCAGTAGCCTAGAGCCTTTTTTAAAAATTGATGTGAAATTTGCTTTTCTCAATCAATTGAGCATATTGCCGCAGCTAAGTGAAAGATCATAGACTATTTCCCATACTTGAGGAGTAATTAAGGGGTAAGATAGATCTATCTGTAGACCAGCTTTGCACCCCATCATCAATCAGGCTGGCATAGTTGTATTTATATTAAATTGTTTCCAGTTTAGGATGTTGAATGCTGGATCTTCTTGATTCATTGCATGGGTTATGATTGTGTCTCTGTTTTTATGACAGTATGAGGGTACAGCTCTAAAATTCAGTTTTATGGTTCTAAGGCTGATAATTAGGTAATTATGGTAATTAGGTTTCCTAAACTCTGTGGTAGCTCTCAAAGAGGCTGATTCCATCAATGACTGTAAAACATTTGAATACTAACAGAGCCATGTTGCACATAAATGGTGACTCTGTTTGTACTCTTGATTGTCAATGCCGCATTTGGAGCCCTTTGATATGGCTCAGGGTTTGTTAATAGTAATGAGGCAATTTAAAAGATGACCAAAGTATCAAAAACTTTAAAACACAAAACACCATCATCATTGTCATAACCATCGTCAAACCAAAACATTGTCATCACAAATATACTCTAAATTTATCATTTACTAATATTCATGGTTTTCAAAGTAACTTTTCTTCTCTTGAGTCCAATCTCTTGCAAGTTTTACCAGACCTACTTACTCTTTGTGAGGCTAATTTGAGTTCAGCTGTCTCATCTTGTGATCATTGTAAAGATTCCAATGATCTCATGCTTGGCCTGGGCATTTAAATTCATGAGAATTCACCCATTTGTCACAAAACTAGATTTGAATCCACAGACTATGCTTTTATGTGCCTTCATTTAGCACCAATTCACTCTATCACCTTTCTCCTTGTTCTATATCACTCTCCTTTATCTTAAGACTGCACTCTTTTTGATGTCATTTCTGATCCAATTGATCAAGCTCTTTCTCTTTATCCTTCAGCCAAAATCATTGTTGTTGGTGACTTTAATGCTTATCACACTGAATGGCTTGGTTCTAGTGTCATTGACTCTGCAGACGTCCACAAAGTTTGCTTTTAAATCTCTAACATAAATAGTCAATTTTCCAACTCGCTTTCCAGACAATCCAAATCATTTACATTTTCTACTCAACTTATGTCTCGTTTCTGATCTTAGTCAGTGCTCAGTTTCTCCATATTCACCCTTAGGTGTTTCTGATCACTGTTTGATCTCTCTAAAACTATTATTTCATTTTTATTCATCATCAGAATCCCCCTATTGCAATACCTCCTACAACTACGTTATAGCTGACTAGGACTCTTTCTGTAAGTTTTTTTTGTGATGGCCCTTTGGTAAAAATCTTTTGTCTTCCTGGTCACAATTGTGATTCTTATGTTTTGAATTCAGGCTGGCATGGAATCTTTTATTCCCTCTCCACAATTTTAAGTCAAGCCTCACTCTTCTCCATTGCTTTTCTCTCATTGTGCTGCTACAATTTCTAATCCTAACCATGACTTCCTCATCTATCGTCAAAACAATTCTTCAGAAAACAAATACCTATTTACTATTTTAGAAACCATTGTAAAAAGGTTTCATCTAATGCTAAAGCCAAAGCTATTATAGGTCACAAAATCTTGTATTTTATCTCAAAAATTATTTTTGAGATAAAATACAAGATTTTTGCTGTTTTAATGTTGTCTGTTCAACCTAGCACGTTTTTTCTGTACAATTAACTGAATAATATTGAATAAACTACATTTAGTTTGGTTGCATTTAAAAATTAAAAAAAAAAATTATTTATACTTATGAACACCAACTTGTATTACACACTTACAAGCGATTTTGCCTTTTATGAGGCAATTTCGCCAATGTAAAAAAGCTTTATTGTATTTTGTTGAATTACACACATTCTGTGCACTTGTCGATGTAAAAGCAGACTTCACATGCCCATCTAAGACAAGAAATGCATTGGAGCCAGTCTTCTGATGAATCCACTCATGCCACACCACACACACAACAGTGTGTTGTTTTTTGCTGTATCTGTTATAAGCTTTTGATGTATTCAGTAGCTTTTGATAAAAATTTAATAATGATTTTAAACTATGGGACTTTCTCTTATTCGAGGAATATGCTTTTATTTGATTGGACAAAAAATTCCTTTTCTTTCTTGAGCTAAATTTTTTTCTTGCTTAGTAAAACAGTTTTGCATCAATTTAAAGCTTAATGATGTGGTTATTAAAATAAACTGTTAAAAAAACACATTTCGTTTTAATTTTAACGATCGTAAGGTCAAAGATAAAGGTCAGATAACCAAAAGTAAATGATCAAAAATAAAATTAGCAAGTGAATAATTAGGGGAAAAAGAGGATAACAAAATGGTTAACAACTTTTTTTAAAAAAAATTGTAACAAATCTTTTTTATAGCAGCTCAACAAAAAAATTAAGATTGGTTGAGGGGTGACTGTATTTTAAAATACAAAATTATTTAAAATATAACATGATTTTATATGCATAAGTTTTTTTTTTGTTTAAAAAGTTTATTATTTTGTAATTTTAATTTTTGATTGTAAGTTGATTATTAAGTAAAGCAAACTTAAAACTGTACCTTGTCTTGACCTATTTATAATGTATATCTTATCCTGTTTTTCTCTATATAATGTAAAATCTAACAAGTTTGAATTTGCTTTGTTGTTCACAAAAACTGCGAATTATAAAATAATATGAAAAAGTGTTACAAATAATAAAGCTTAACTCGTTTTTTGAAACCAACTGTCTACCAAATATTAATACACTAAGTAAATATATTTGATTTTTAAATATCAATTTTCAAAAAAATGAAGTTCTTAAAAATAAATTTTTTTATCTTATCATTGTTATCAAATATCTTTATATTATCGTTATCATCTACTTTTCAAAAAAGTTATTAGAATTTATTGAAAATGAAAACTTCATCATATCATCATTATAAAAAATCATTATAAAAAATTTAAGCAAAAAACATAGGTCTAAAAACTTAAGCAAAAAGCATAGATATCAAAATTTAAGCTCTCTGATTTTATTGTTGAAATTAAAAAAAAAAAGATTTTTTAAATTATTAATAATATTATTAAAATGTATTATTTTAAAGATGGCTGTTGTTTAGTGTTTTTAATGTGATTTTTTAAGCTTTAGCATCAAATTAGAATACTTTTCTTAAATTTTCAAACCTATGCCTTTAAATAATTCTGAATCAAACTGATATATTCTATCATAATCATGAAAACAGGGATAAAAAAGTTAAAATATACAGTATATATACACCATATATACAGTTAACTCCTAATAAATCCAACTTTATTGAGGCCAAACAGATCAACATTTCAGTTATCATCATTATCTTTCTTTATTTACTAAATTCATTACTTCTTCTATCGACTGTACATCTGTTAGTAAAGGTACTGTTCTCATCAAGTTTTTGGCTGCAGAAATGACATCTTCAACTGTTTTACCGAAAGGGTAAAAATTATTATGTGTTTTGATTTGATTTTAAAGATCTTTGAAGGGGTTGCCATCTTCATTTGACTGGGAATATATCTTCTAATCTTCCAAAATTCCAGCTTATGAAAAACAATTAATGATGTTGCCAATGCAAAGTCAAGCATTTTCATTTGCATCTAATATTAAAAAAACCGGTAGATCTTTTTCTTGACTAATAACTATGACCAGTCTTATCAATACAAAAGATATGTAATAATCTTTCAAAGAGCCTTTAAATCTCTTATCCATTTGTTAGAGTTTAGATGAATTACTCAGTGGTAAGAAAAATGAGTTTGAGTCTGGCAAACGATAATCTATTTTAAATTATTGATTGTCATATTTTATCATATGTCATATTATCATAGTTCGACTCCCACCATGTCCCTGGAAGTACTGCGCTCAACTTAATTTCTCCGCGCAGCAGCCTTGCTTGTTAAGGTTCGTGTTTCGGAGTTGAGAGAGGGTTGTACCACAATTTACAACAAAAAAAAAAAAAAAAAAAAAAAAAAAAGAGAAGCCACCTCGATTGTAGTGGCCCCCTTGGGCCTTGGGGAGGTAAATAATTAAAAAAAATATATATATATGTATGGTTAGTTAAAATTTTTTTTTTATTATGTTGAGAAATTTGGTTGCACGACTCACTTGAAAGCTAAAAATTCAATTAATTGAAAGAAAAGTAATGACTTTTACTTAGACTTTTTTTTTTTTTTTTTTCTAAAGCTCAATTTATCAGTCGAGTATTTATCATCGAGCAACAGGAGTAGATAAAATGGTTCAAATTAATGAATGTTTGAATTAATAAATGATTTTAATGAGAAAGTAATAATGAGGGTTCAAGGGAAATTTAAAAGTACTTAGAGTTAAAGAAAGTTTGAGTTTTCTTGATTAATCGGTTAGTTTATATACAATTTGTTTAACAATATATTATATATAGCACGCTATATAACACAATTCTTATTCGCAATTTGTATTAATATTAGTATAATTCACTTATTTCATTATTAAAAACATTATTAAGTTCTATTAATAAAACTCTTTATATGATGTAATTATTCTTAAAAATAAATCTACATTAAACAGTGTAGCTGATGTTAATAAGTTTTAAAAAAACCCAAAGTAAACAGAAACAAAAAAAACAACCTTAAAAACAATTTTTATTTTTTAAAGTTTACTTGAATATTAAGTTTAACTATAGCAAATATTGAATTCTACACAATAGAATCACTAATGAAATTCCTTATTATGCAATTGTTTTAGATTGGCTGAAATAAGACAATTCAACTTTTTACTTGACATGCACCTTTTTGTTATATAGAGTCTTAGATGTAAAATCCTTATAAAACTACAATAAAAAATAATTAGGAAGTATTATGGTCAATTAGTAAGGTTCCAGGTAATTTCTGGTGTTTTCTGATAAAAACCTCTGAAAATAAATGCAATTTGTTAACTTACCCCTACTGCCCCAATCTCTTCTAAATTTCTATATCATCCCATTTTTATGCCTTGTAATCTTAACTTAACTAAAGTTATATTGTTATAGCCAATGGTTGATATTAAGTAATTATATTTGTAGTTAACTTGAATTTTTATTCGTTACTTAAATTTTAAAAAATTGTTAAACTGATTATTAGACTTTAACAGCACACAACTATTGTTTTATTTTATTCAAATTAGGTTATGCTTCCTAATAGAAGTGATATAGGCAATCTGTATTGTTCAAAAAATTGCCAGAGCCCTGTAGTACTGCACTGCCCTGACTCTCGCCATAATAAAGGTCTTTGTGTTAAATGTGCTGAAAAAGCTAAAAAAGAACTTATGGGACCTGCTGGACCGCATGCATCAACAAACATTTATGATTGTCAGGTTACAAGAGTAGAATATGATGGACGTGTTTATATGAACGATGTAGAAAGCAGAAAACCACCATACCAAACTGCAATTCATTGGAAATCAACACGACGTTTAAGTTCTGCTAATCTTGTGGGGCTAGTTAAACTATCTTATAAAGGCTCGTGCCTTAAGGAAAATGATACAATTATTTGGGGTGAAATTGTTAATCATGGGGAACCAAGAGATGAATTTAGAAGGCGTGAAGAGAAACGTCTTTGCGTTTCACTTTCTACAATAAATGAAACAAAATTTACAGATTTTATTAAAAAAAACGATTATTTGGCAGTAATTGATTGCATGACATTTGTTCCTGAGCATATTCCTATTCTAAAAGCACTTGATATCCAAAAAGTATCAAATTTACCATTTCAAGAAGGTTTATTCTTTTTTTATTTAACATTTTTTTATATTTATCTATGATACAATATATATATATATATATATATATATATATATATATATATACCAGGGATGCGAAGTCCGGAGTCGGAGTCCGGAGTCGGAGTCCATGGAGTCCCTATTTTAGCCCGGAGTCCGGAGTCTCGGGAGTCCATAAAAATTTTAGGACTCCAGGACTCTTTTTTTTTTTTTTATAGTTATTAATATGCATAAGAAATACCTGATAGTCTTGTCACAAAACACTGTAAAAGAGCATTTGACCGGAAAGCTCATCTCCTTCCTTACTAATTCGAACCAATACTCAGATTGAGTATCGGTTAGAATGTTACGCCTTGTTAAGAGGCGTTACCAAGCTCGCATTTTACGTGCGAAAAGGCCATATGCTTATGCGTTCAGCAGTTTAACGTTAAGAGAAAACTTTCTTCTTTTAGAATATTTAATTTTTATTTTGATATCGTTGATGTGACGTTTATTCAGAAAATATAATGTTGTAAATAAAAGTATTTAACCGCAATTGCGATCTAATAGTTTTTTTTGTTAAAGAAACTGTTTAAAATTTTTTTTTCTGTTAAATTTAATTAAAAAAAATAAAGTGTTTTAACTTTAAAAATTTCATGATATTTAATGTTAAGTTTTATATTAAGTTAATAAACTTTTATTCGCAAATTATTTTCATTTTATATGTAACAATTTTTGTTTATTTATTTATAGTTTTAAAACAATTAATTTTTTTATCCCGTTAAGAAAGTACTTATGATTAACTGTTTATTTAAGTATTTCCTCATCATCAAATTTCGAGACCCAGGGACAATTTTCCTAAAAAGAGAGGAAGTTAACATTCGACACTTAAATATTTTTTATAAGACATTAGTCACTTTTGAAGGATTCATCCTCCTCATTTTATTCACAAAATCGCCACTGGCTAGACCTGCAGATAAAGATATGTTTGAACGCTTAGTTGTTTTATTATTTTTTAATATTTATCAAATTTAGAGATAAATGATATTTTAGTGTTGAAGTTGCTTTTATGCATAAGTTTTTTCGTTATCTTTAATTTTTTAGATTGATCATAGAAAGAAAGTCGATTAGAATAGATTAACTAGGTTATGAGCAGTAGACAAATATTTTACCAAAGTCAAGTTCTTTAAAAAAAAATTGTCGATATATTTTTTGCTTTGTTTAAGCACTGTTTAAAACTGTAAACTATAGTAGGAAACTATACTTATAAATAAATGAAGCTTGTAAATACTATTAGAAAAAAATATATATCTTTTTATTTCTTTTAATTTCAACCCAAAATGGCATGACTCTGTCTAAGAAAATAAAAAGTCTACTCTGCTAATAAAATAAAAAATTTTATTTTAATAACGCCTAATGAAAAATTGTAATGAAAGCAATATGGTTTAGATACGAAAAGCAATCAAATTTCACTAGCAAATTAATTATACGCAATAAAAAAACAAATTTGTCTGTGAGTTTGCGCTATAAAATCAAGCTAACGATCTAGACAGTTGGCAAAAAACGTACCATCAAGGTCAGAAAGAAGCCAAAAAAAGCTTATAAAAATACCTCAACAAATAAATAAAAATTATTTTGCACAGCAATTTCTTTTACAGAAAAACTACTAACGTCATCGATTCATAACTAGCCATTGTAACAGCTTTCCTAACTATGTTTTCGTGGGTTGTTTTACAAAAAATTAATTTTGCGAAGCATATATAACACAAAGAAAATACATTACATGTTCACAATAACTTGCAATAACAACATTCTTTCTTTAAAATAATATTTGCTATTAACTCGCGTGTATCAATCTTGACCAGTAATGGCCACTAACTATGCATCAGATACGATCTACAGACACTTTCATCGCACAAATAAAATTTTGAATGGATGCAAAGTAGTATGCTTCAAATGTCTTGTACCCGAAAAAAGTAAAAGTAACGAGTTATGTGGTAAAGAAATTACATGTGCCGCAAAAGCTCGCATTAGCAACCTTATACGACACTTATCTAGAAAACATGCGGAGCTCCTCATTACGTTAGAAAAAAAAAAATTAGAAAAAAAAATAGAAGAAAAGAATAAGAAGCAAAAATATACAGCCATCAAAGGCAGCACTTCACAGCAATCCATATTAAAGTGTTTTGTACCACAGCAAATTAGTTTGCATATTACAAAAGATGAGTTTTTAGAAGCCTTAAACCAGCTGGTTTTGGTTGAAGGTCTTTCATTCCAGGTTCAATTTATTTTTTCGTTAGTAATTATTTTTTAATTAAAAAAAAAAAATCTAGACAGTTATATGTTTTTTTGGCATTTTTAAATTAACATTTATCATTCTAAAAACAATATCTATAGGCGTTTGATCGGGAACCTATTCAAAAGCTTTGCGGAAAAGTTTCATCTCATTTTGGATTTAAAATGAATAGAGATAATATGAGAATTCAAATTATCGATCTTGCCAAAAAGCATCGCGAACAAATCAAAAACAAATTATCGAAAATGCTAATTTATTTGAAAGTCGATTCTACATCAAGGCATATGCGTCACTACCTCGGTATAAATGCCCAATACTCGAACAATGATGAAATTGCTGTGATCAATCTTGGCACGATTGATACAAAGGGAAAACAAACGGCGGAATACACAAAAAAAATTATTGAGAAGTGTTTAGATAAGTTTGGAATCAATAAAATTAATATTTTAGGCCTCAGTGTTGACAACGCAGCAGTGAGTAACATATTTTGAAATTCACTATATTTTTTGTTAATAAAAAAAATTTTAAATTATGTGATTAAAGTTATTATTTTCCATAAAATCATTTAAAAATTAAACTATTTTGATAAAATCTTTTGTATACTGTAAGGTTCACTAAACTTTAACTATTGAAATCATATTTAATATCCTTAGGTGAATATAAAGTTGGTGCGCGACTTTGGCATCAGCGCCGTTGAAGATATTGGAGATGACGAAGACGATTTTTCAGTAGAAACTGATGAATTTGACGAAGATGGTTATTCTAAAGCAGACAATGCGGAAGCAGTCTTGGCAAGTGGAGTTGCCAGTAGCATGAGTGTTATACATCTTCAAAGATGTGCTGTCCACACTTTACAGCTAGCCGTAAATGATGCATTGAAAAGGCCCACAATAAAAAATCTAATTAACCATGCCAGAGATGTTGTCAAAGCTGCAAGAAATTCGAAGTGGATTGACTTCTTCAGAGACCAGACTCCACATCTCATTCCAATTTTAGATCAGGCTACCCGTTGGTCTAGCCAGTTCAATATGATTGAGAGGCTAATTAAGGTAAGTTATAACTTATAACTTCTAAGCTTTAATCAAAGTGTATAAGCCAGTTTTCTCACCGGTATAATATAAATCCAATTATTTCAATGGTAATGACATTTATACTACTTAATAATTTTTAAATGTTAGTTTATGTAAATATTTCTTTAATAATCCTCTTTATTTAAGTAGTTAATAACTTTGTACATATATTTAATGAATTCTTCTGTTCTTCTAGATTCGACCAGTAATTCAAAATCTAAATATGCAAAAAGAAGCTCCTAAAGAATTTAATGTGCGACCATGTTTTTGGGGTATGTGGGAGGAATTGAGAGATGTATTGCATATGGCACGCGATCTTACTATTCGTCTTCAACGTGAAAATATCACCGCAGGCGAATTTCTTTTTGATTGGAATTCAATTAAGTGTGAACTTGACGGGAAGGACAGTGACTTAGCCAAAGATTTCCAAAAAGGAATGGATAATAGAGAAAGCGCGCTACGCGAAAATCCGTTGTTTCTTGCAGCAGTTTACGTTGATATTAGGCATGGCTGTATGCTAACAGCGACTGAAGACAAGGTTGTTTTTTTAATAAAATTTTATTTATATATATTTATTTATTTAACTTTAAAAAATACATATTCCAAAAAGTATAAATACTTCTATAGATAACTGCAGCTGATGGACTTTGGAAAATACATTACAAACTTATTCAACTCGCTAATGAAAATAAGAATAATGAACTCAATAAAACCAAAAAAGCAGTAGAGCGCAACTCTTTTGCAGTTTATGTGTCAGACTCTAGTTCAGAAAATGAGGAGAATGCTTCACCAGTTGCAAAGCGTCGACCAAATTTATTTAAGTTGTGTGAACAGGAGGTTCAAGAAAATTCTTCAGAAGAACAAATGCAGGTTCAACTAGATGTAATCGAAAAGGAGTTTCGACTAGCTCTAAAAACAATTCCGGAAATCCGTTCAATGTTTAAAGAAAAATCATCCAACTTAGACGAGTTTTTAAAACTTAACCCATTAAAATCAATTGAGCAGTTCCCTGAAGTTGTACGGGACGCCTGCCGTGTTGCTTTGTCGCTACCCATATCCCAAGTCAGTGTCGAGCGTCTGTTTTCAGTCTTAAAGCACATGACACCAGACCATCGTAGTCGATTTACGTCTGATTTAATTGATGATATGCTTTTTTTACGAACAAACGAGTTTTTTATTTAAACGTTTTTTGATGATGTAAATATTATAATATTTTGTCCTTATAACTTTTTAATTTAGCGTGTAATTAATGCAAATAAGCATTTAAATCTTTTTATAATTTTATGATCATGTCGTTTCAAATAATCTGAGAAATTGAGTGCGACAATACAAATCAAATAAAAATCTTTGGAGTTGTATTGTTCTTATAAATTCTTACGATCCAGCAAAAGCGGGACAAATTAACTTTTGGGTTTAAGCAGCCGTGGCTCAGTGGTAGCGCACTTTCCTAAAAAAAATAAGGGATCCGTGGTTCAAAACCACCTTTGGTTTTGCGACATCGGTTAGGAAGTAGGAGTGAATTTCCTTTTAATTGCTTTTCTAAGGTGCGCTGTTATAAGACCGTAAGGACTTCTTAGGGTACATAAAATAAATATATATATAATTCATAAGAGAAAATATTATTGGTACCCTTTCATTTTTCCGGAACTTTCG